TGTTCGGTGACAGTATGGCCCATGCAATATTTGGAATATACTTAAAGTAAAAAATATATATATTATTCTTTGTTTACTTGAAATTCAAATTTAACTGGGTGTCCAATCTCATTTCTTCTAGCTAAGAGGCTGTGTTAACTAGGGTTAAATCTCATCTAAATCTGCCTGAGATTTAACTGTTCAGCCTAAAAAGGGAGGAAAGAGACTATATACTGAAGGAACTAAAAATAATAAACCAGCATATACTAGCAAGAGCCAGAGGAGAACTACTGGGGTCAGATTTTTTGGGTGTTTGATCAAGGGGGCTGGAGATCAAGACTGGATAATCAAGATTTTACTGACTTTGGGATACCTTTGAGACAGTTTAACCCTGGCCAGAACCCCTAGGGACTGGGCAAACTCCCTGCTAGGGTAGCTCTTTGAATCCTGGAAAAAGTGAGAGAAGTAGATATAAGCTAACAGCAGCTTTTGACTCCAGAAAATAGCTATTTATTTTAGCAACTAATTGTTTTATAACAATTTTAAGTGGTTTTTAGATGGTCTTCTCCAGATACTTTGGTTCTCTACTTAGCTTTTAACTGTGTCATGTGCCTTCAGCTTCTCATTATCCCTCTACAAGGCAGTAGTACACTTAAACAGTTCTGCTTTCCTTCCATTGTTTCCCCTGTATCTTTTGTTGTATAGACACCAGCATTCCCCTCTTTTGGGATGTTTTCCTAGGTCATTACTAGTGAAATCAGTGGTCAAGCAGCCACCCTGTGCTAGGAAATGACTGATTTCTTGCACCAATCCCTATACTACCTATATCAGTTTTCGTCCTCAGAGAAGCAGATGCCATGAAGGGATAAGATATGCAACATATTGACTGGGCAAAATGTCTGTGAAGGATGAAACAGCCTCAGGAATTGGCAGAGAAAGCCTACAGACCACAGTGGAAGTCTGACCTCTCTAAAATGAGGGAAGGAAGGAAATATGGGGTGGAAAAAGCATCAGACTACAGTGTAGTTCTAAGAAAGTTTCATCTAGGCTGATAAGTTCCCCAAGCCAAAGTTGCCCATTAAAGGAGTTCTGTATTAGGCAGGAAAGGACCAGTTTAGTATCCTCGTTGTGCTCAACTACTGGCTGGGAGCAGCTCCAGGGATTTATGGCTTTAGCACAAATGCAATGGTGGATCCAAAGGGGGTGGCAGCTGACTGTTAGCCAACTATGTTCCTCAGAGTAGATTCTCTTGGAGATCTGAGTGGTACACTTACATAGCATCTACACCAACCAAATGTCTAATAAACAAATTATAAAACTATAGCAACTGAAACTGTCATCCTAGAGTTGACCAAATAAAACAAGTGAATTCAGACAAATCCAGATACATGTATGTATATGTGTGTGTGAATTTAGTAAAGAATGATTAAAACAGCACTTCAAATTATTTCATCTATAAATGACATTGACAATTGACTCTCCATTTAGAGGAATAAATTTACATTAGCATCCTACTTCATATATACAAAAAATCCCAAATGGATCAGAGAACTAAACATTAAAAAACTATAAAAACATGTTAGAATACCTTGGTTAAACATGGGAAATTAACCATACACAAGTGCCTATCTCTTTGAAAGTTAATTTTTTTTTAAGGTATAGAGTCTAAAGGGCAAACAAAAGACAATAGTAAAGATTTTAACAAATATCAGTTACATCAGGGTCCCCAACCCCTGGGGCCACAGACCTGTAAAGGTCCTTGGCCTGTTAGGAACCAGGCTGCATAGCACAGGAGGTGAGTGGCAGGCCAGCTAGCTAAGCTTCATCTGTATTTGCAGTGGTTCCCCAGCACTAGGCTAGCATCACCACCTCAGCTCCACCTCAGATCATCAGGCATTAGATTCTCATAGGAGCACCAATCCCTGGTGCCAAAAAGGTTGGGGACTGCTGAGTTACATGACAAGCAGATGGAAGGACAGTAGTGGACTTAGCAAAGCAGAGGAATTTACAACCTAAATGAATACAGAGGTGATCAAGGAAGAAAACAAATTATATGCAGAAAAAATCAGAACGGATCAGGGTGAAAAATTTGAGGGCAAGGTGAAAGTCTATATAGAAAAGGGCTATATGCCTGGGTCTACTCCCCAATAAATAACCAAAGGCCTACACACACCCATACACACTTTTGTAACACTGCCACTACCACCTCGGGACACTGAGATTTATTTTCTGAAATGGGAAAGACTTTTGACTTGGGGATACTTGTCACAGTAGATAGTGGGGGATTTTGAAACAGGGATGAAAGTGTGGATTAAGTAAGAATATAGTAAATAATATATATAACTTATAAAATATGTGTTAATTGACTGCATGTTATCAGTAAGTGTTCCAGTTACAAAAATCTTAGAAACCGAAAGTTGTCCTGAAAGTTTTTATTGAGCCATGTTAGCCAGAGAAAGGACCGGGTCGTGGGGCATGCTGTCTAAATGACCAGCAGCAAGGCTAGATGGAGAAGACAAGTATGTCTGCCATCCTAGGACTGATGGGGATCCTTCATACAATGAGTTTGGAGAAGAAAAATATAAGTTGTTTTGAAAGAATTTACATTGTCTATAGATAAGGGGCGAGGTGGAGAAGGTGAAGTGGTAAAAGTTTGGGGATAGGTGAATAGTCCATAAGGAAGAACTACTTGTTGCTGCTGGATTGGATGTAGGCATAAGCATGATGTAGTGGTGACTGGTGGTCGGCTGTTACTTTTAGATATTTGCTAAAATAGCTGCCTGAAAGTTGACTCAAAATTTCAACGTACATTCATAAATGTGGGCAATCTTTTGCTGGTTTGGGCCTGCGATTGCTAACTAATCAACTTCCTTTATTTCTTCCTCCCACTCTCCAGCCTGCTGTAATTTAATTTAGGACATGTCGCATCTGAAAATTTTTTTTTTTTTTTTTTTTGGTCATGGTCAACAGTAGGCTATTAGCAATAGTTAAGTTTTGGGGGAGTCAACAGTTATACTCAGATTTTCAGCTGTGCAGAGGGTCAGTACCCCTAACTCCCACACTGTTCAAGGGTCAGCTTTACCTGGAAATAGAAATTAGAGAAACCAGACAGGAGCTCTGAAAGATGTAATTTAATATCGGTTGAGCTGATAGGGTAGTTATTAAATTACCTGCTAGGGTAATGTCAAATTGAGTAGTAAACTTCTAAAGGAAACATCATTCTTTCAAAAGTTATTGAGCACTTGCTATGTTCCACACCCTATGCATTGGAGATACAATGGTGAGAAAAAACATAGTTCCCTGGAATCATGGAAATTTTTCATCTAGATATGGAGACAATTACTAAATCAGAAATCATTCAAATAAAGTTACAAGTATGACAAATGCTACAAAGAAGGGGGCACAATGTGCTCTAAGAGTATGTAATAGGAAGATAAAATGGATACTCTGGTTGTCATTCTAACATTTATTCTACCCATACCATATAGTGTAACCTCCAAGGAATTTGAGTGTGATTAACCCCAGCCACAGCTCCAAGGATGGGCCCTGATTTGCCTCAGCCAATCGGTGCTTGACATTTCCTAGATGAGAAACTCTAGGTTCATGGGTAGGGGGCATATGACCTAACTTAGTCTAATCACAATGCAACTGGGGATACGTGAAGATATTCTATTTTGATGTGGATGAAGAACTATGTAGCCTTTGGAGCTCTTGGCCACCACATCTTAAAATTCATCCTTAGGATGACTTTGACAGAGCAGAAAGTAGAACTGAGAAGCAGGAGGAAATAAAGTTCTTACTGATACTGCTGAGTCACTAAACCAAATCAACCCTGAAGTTCACCTAAAGTCCAGACTTTACATTCATATAAGCCTTGAACATTTTAAAAGCCAAATTCTCACTCAGGAATTCTCTAACATCAGGCTTAAAGTTATATGTGTGACGCTTTCTCTAACCCAAGATGGAAATGTTATTTTCTCTGGGCTCAGAAGCATTTTTTCCACATAAATCTCAACAGTTAATGAGCTCTATTGTTATGTATAACTACTTAATTCTAGTACATTTTCTGAGGTCCTCTTTAAAAAAAAAAAAAAAAAGCAATATCTCCAGATTTTGAAATTAGAATTTATTTTATCGGGCGCCTGCTCTGTGTTAAGACATTGTCTCACGTTTCAGTGTACCGCTGAAGGCTGTCCACACAAATGAGCTGGTCAAAACAAAAGCACGTTTTGACAAGACCATTGATTAATGTAATGACTACAATTCCCAAGATGCCCTGCAGGGTCAACGTTTGCGTCTCCCTTGGTTTTCATCTTTCAAACTAAAGGATAAAGAACTGGCGGCTGAACAAACTGAGACTGTCTTAAAGAACGAATAAAAGGATTCTGCCAGCAACAAACGGGAATTAAAATAAAAGACTGCCTGGTGTATAGCGTGTATCTACCGCGCAATGTTTGACAGTTAATGTGATGTTTGACATGTGATGTTTGACAACGTGAATGCCGAAAGAATTCTTCCTTCGCTTACTCAATGCAGAAGACCTCCCGATAAAGCAAAAAAGGCCCACAAGAGAATCTCAAAAATATCAAAACAATGCTCTTACATGTGTTAAGGTGGTAATTCCCCGTTAAGTTCCCTGCACTTATCTGAAGACTTATTTTCCAAAGTTACAAACACAGGAAGGGCACTATATTTTCATGAAGTGGAAATTATGCTTTTCAATGGCCAGTTACCAAAAACCTAACAGTGAAACGCTTTGGCGGGAAATAGGAAATTGCCAACTACTTTTTGTAATATGTTATAATCGCCAGGAGATCCATAGAAGACTTCCTGAGATGTTTAACTGTAACAAACTCCACAACGAGTTTTCGTGGATTTCGGGTCGCCTTAAAAGGCTCAAAGTTTCTATGTCTTCACAGAAAGAGATTTAAACAATTTTTCTCCCATAGACTGACAAGGTGAGCTTCCATTAAGGAATACGAGCACATCTCCTTGGGTTAGTCCCGTCCAACGATGCGTACCTCCCAGGTTTGATTTTCCTCAGAACTGGGTCCCACGACTCCTTGCATGCCGGGTGCAAACAGCAACCACACCAACCGGGATCCACGACTCCGTTCTCGCTCTACTCAGAGAAGTCTCGCGGCACCAGCAGAGACGGAGAGCTCGCGAGAACCACACTCTCCTCCGAGATTCAACACCAGTAGGCGGGGCCGAGAAAGGAAGAAATCTCACTTAGGCCCGCCCACCACGGTACAGCACCGCGCCTCGCGAGAACGCAGACTTTAGCTAAGCCGGGAAGCTCAGGCAGAAGCGGAGGTGCTAAGCGTTGCACTCGTCGGCTACCGTAGCCCCTGCTAGGACAGCCCGTGCGAACCTGCTGGAGGAGGAAGAGAAAGGCAGAAAGAATCGGGTTACAAGATGGCGGATGTGTAGTGGTTACCGCGGCGGCGGCGTCGGCGGCGGCGGGAGAGCGAGCGAGCTCTGGGGGGCAAAGGGAGGGGAGGGTGGGTAGCTGTGAGTGAAGTGAGAGGTAACCAGGACTCCGCCGGAGAGGTCTCGGTGGCTCTTTTTGCCCCTTCCCGCGGTTGAACCTTAGGAGCCATGGTGAACTCGGGCCTCTCTGGAGCCGCCGCCGCCACCGCCACCGTTTCTCAAGAGTGAGGGGTGCGGACAAGGTGAGCGAGGAGGCGGTGGCTGGAGCGGTGGGGACAGCAGCCACAATGTCGGATACGCGGCGGCGAGTGAAAGTCTATACTTTGAATGAAGACCGGCAATGGGACGACCGAGGCACCGGGCACGTCTCTTCCACTTACGTGGAGGAGCTCAAGGGAATGTCGCTGCTGGTTCGGGCAGAGTCCGACGGTAAGGTTATTGAAACGGTAGGAGAGGGGACAGTGCCTCCAGTTTGTGCATAGTCCTGGGGTTTAGGCCGCAGTCCGTGTACTGTTACCACTGCTTGGGACAGCGCTTTGGCTTTGTGCCTGCACTTCCGTACGGTAAAAACAAACTACTATGTCCGGATTTACCCTTAGACACCAGTTCTGTTTCCTCGTCTCCTACCTCTGTTAAGGATTTGACCCTTTACTCTCCAGTCTCTTCTCTTGAAGAAGGGAGAGTGTGAGAGAGCAGGGAAGAGTACTGAGACAAGCGATTTCTACTCGTCTTCGGGAGCCGATCCTCCCCCTTCTTATTTTTTATCCATTATATGTCTGGTAAAAGGTTTAATGAAACTTCTCTTTCTGGGTTTTTTTGTTTTTGGTTTTTTTTTAACCAATTTTACCAACGAGTCCCAGTTGCCACAGTCGACTGGTGCTGGGGAAAACCAAAAGGCAACTTTCAAAGCCTGGGGTTATTACAGGCTGTTGCCACGATACATGTACGCACAAGCACATATATCTTTGGTCTGGGATCCGTCCAGGCTGCCTTTGTGGGAGTGCTGTGGATACTTCACAACCTAAACAAGTTAGGACACCGAAGCAGATTGTAAACTTTCATTCCTTGATTTGTGCGAGTGTTCTGTGAAGTATTTTTAGATTATAAAATGTAGAGCCCTAATTAAAACCTCGTTGTAATCCGAACGCCTAGACTTGAACATTTATGTGCAGATAATAGAAAAATAACAGTCTTCGATTTATTCTTAATGTATTTTGTACTATTTCAGTTTTGTTCTATTAAATAGTCGTAGACATTTATTTCTACATAAGGTGGCCTACCTTTTGTTGTTAAGAAGAAAAGGATAAATACAGTTCTGTAATTTGTATTTAAATTCCTGTTGTCCTTTGTAATTTGTTTTATTTGTTAAACTGGAAATGCAATAAAATAACATTGTTAAAAAGAGTTCGGCTTCAAGCGTCATTTAGACCTTAAAATTTTCATTTCAATAAAACTTTAATAGTCATCTAGTCGCTTTATATTTTTGGTCTCAATGTTGGTCTTAGATGGATTTTTCTTCCTTTAAGGGTTTCTGGAGATAGGATGCGTTCATTAAATATGAAGCCCAGATCTGGAGAGAAAAAATATGAATTGGAATACGTTTGATTACCCAAAGTCTAGCTAAGTGAAGACATAAAACTTTTTTCTTTTATTTAATGTGAACTCTGATTTTTTTTATTCTGTTTCGTATGTTGAAATTTATACATGTTACATTTTATCTTTCAGGATCACTACTCTTGGAATCAAAGATAAATCCAAACACTGCATATCAGAAACAACAGGCAAGTAGTTGTTTATCTTTAATTTGAAAGACTTCATCTGTGATCATGGAAGTATTAATCTGACAAAGATGGGAAAGCTTTCCTGACAAGAAAAAGCATGTTTGGTAAACAGTTACAGATCATATGTATTTCCCTTGCTGGTTAAAAGTTTCAAACTGAAAAGTGAAAGTTTTTGTACTGGCAGTGATTTATTATCTTTGATTTGAGCCACTGTTAGTTTATATTAGAATACAATGTACTCATTAGTCTTATTTAATTTACAGTTAGCCAGGTCTCTGCTATACTCTGTATACTGTCTTTTATTCTCAATCACAGTTAAAGGAAATGGCATGCAAGAAAACTCAGAGTACTCTTTAAAGCAAGGAAAGCTTGTTTGTGGTGTGAAATTAGATCCTTTGACTCAAACAAAGGTAGAGTTTTGAAGCAGAAGCATTTACATCATGTTCTTTCATTGTATATTTTTAATATAATGATACTTTGCAAAAGTGTACACTGTTGATTATGTAATGTTTTCAGTTAATATTGTCTTATTTGGGAAAAGAAAACCCTATGTTGTTTTAGCATACCAAATTAATCTGAAAATGGCAGCAATGATTCAACCTTTTCTTTATTCTGTGAATGTTTCATTTTTATTATGAAAGATTTCAAAATTGAAAAGTACAGAGAATAACATGAGTGTCTATATAACACTACCAGATTTAACAATGTCAACATATTCTATTTGTTTCAAATCTTTTTGTAATATTGAACATCATGGATAGAGTAAAGCCCCCTTTGTACCCATCTCATTCTATCCATTCTCTGTCTTCCCTATAGGTAACCACTATTCTGAAGTTGATGTGTATTATTTCTGTACATGCTTTTTTACCTTTTCTGCATATGTATGTATCCATGTAATATGTAGTCTTTTGTGTGTTTTTAAACTTTACACAATTGATCTCGTATTCTTACATGTATTCTGCAACTTTCATTTTTCACTCCACGTTATTTTGAAGATTTGTTCATGTTAATGTAGATCTAGTTGTTTTTAAAAAAAACTGTATAGTATTTTGATGTATGATATACACCTATTGTGAGACGTTTGGATAATTTCCAAAAATTTTATTGTGTGTGGTGTGTAAAGTGAATATATGGCAGAGATTTTTTAAGGAAAGATAAATTATTTTAAGATTATATTTACATCATCAATGCCTACTTTCTTCAAGGCCAATGAAAATTTGGATACCCAGAAACACATACTTCCTGTTCGAGGAGTGAAACTATGTCTATTGCACAGCTCATTGTTAGTAAAAGTCTTCTTGTTAAACAATTGTTTTTTGTATACAATATATTCTTAATCAGTTCTTTGAAATATTTTAAATTTTTTCAATGTTCAGTTAATAGTTTTTCCCTCTGCTTAGAAAATTTTTTTGATGGAGAATCAAATTAAACGTTTGTCGTGTATTGAACACCTGAGGATGTTTCCTATACCTTAGACGTTTTAAGGTAGACATTTAAGTAAAACTAATTTCTAAGTCAGCCAGGCAGATGGTTACACTCTGTCTTTGTGCTGAATTTTGCGAGATAGCTACTTAATGATTTTTTTTTGTTTGTACGTTTGCTTGCTTGTTTGTGGGGAAGGAAAGACTAATATTTTGTGTCATATTTCCCCCTATCTGCATGAATATAAAAAACTGTCCTTATATGCGATTCCCTACAAATTAGTTATAATATGGATTCTTCTCAGATTGTATACAAGATCCTTTAGCTATTCTTACTATTGGAAAGGTCACTTTATGGCAGAGTTTTGTGTATAAAATGGTTCCCCCAAATTAGTCCATATAAACACAGTGGTTCTGTAAATACTTTAGAAACTTTGGGACATAATTTTGTGTGAAATCTTAACTCTGCTAGAAAATTAAAGTATTGGAGGAAAGAATATTTATTTAAAAAAATAATACCATTGAAAAATGTTTTCTGTAATCACATTCAAATAATATATGATTGGGCTTTTTTTATATACTTTTTCTAAACAAGGTACTTTTACTAAATAACATTAAAGTATAAGCACTCCTGGCAGAATAATATGGAAAAGCTTTGTATGTAAGAATGATAAACCTGTGTAAATGATAAACTTGTTTTATTTTCTTTATTTTTGTCTAAATTGTATACACTTTTCTAATATAAATCAGCCATTTGGAGGTTGTGTTAAACTTAGTTTCTTTGTAATAGATATTATTTTTCATATTTTTACCAAAGTCTTGTTCAATTTGCACTTTTTGCCAAGTTACACAAATTGGGATTTTTAAACATGTTGCTGTTTTTCTATGTTCATTAGAATTATCTTTTTTAAAATGTCATCATTTAATTTATTCAATAAATTAGTCCAGAAAATTATTCATTTCCAAAATTTATACGAAGTATATTGACCATTAGTGGGTTTTTAATTTTTAAGAAAATGAGTGAATAAGACATAGTTTACAGGATATTTTACTATATTAACATACATTGAATAAATGCAGAGAAGAATATTTGACATTTTTTTAACAGTTCTAAAATGAGCTACGTAATGAATTGTATGTTCAAAATAAGTTAGAATGAGTCGAGTTGAATGTCAGATACTCAAATTTGGTAAGTCATCATGATTCACATTACTTTCTTGTTTACTGTGGGCAATATGAAGTAGTTAATGAGAAGGGGAACATATACTTACCAATAAACTTGTGTTTAAATAAACACATTGGAAAGAAAAGAGACCGATTATATAGTCGAACATGAAATAAAGTGCCTGATATATGTGTCACAATTTTAAGTTATTTAGAATCAGTTCTGCTCATCTGGACTAAAAGCAGAATTATTGGGATATGTACCTTTTATATTTAACACAATTGTGTGTTAATTGGATTTATAAGAGAAGTATAAAGAAGTCTTCATCCTTGGTTTTATTGGGAGATAAGACATAACAGATAAAGCAATTACA